AGTCAGGTCAGCAGTCTGACCCATGATTGTGGTTTTGAGTAATGAACCAGACTGGGAGTTTTTAAAAGCCTCAGGAATCTTTCTCAGGTGTTTAGAGTTAATTTGTTGATTCAGATGATTAGATTAATGTCGTTTAGAGAAACTTTTCATGATTTTTTGAGATAGGGATTTTTGGTTTTTCTTTATTTTTTGCCAAAATCATCAATATTAAAACAATAAAAGGCTTGAACTACTTCAGTTGGTGTGCAATGAATCTAAAATATATGAAAGTTTAATGTTTATCAGTACATTACAGAAAATAATGAACTTTATCACAATATGCTATTTTTTTGATTAGGACCTGTATAGCTTGGCTCGTGTTTTTTGTATATTTGTATGAGCCTCACTGTTTTTACTGCAGTTCTATATTTCACATTATGAGGATTGTTGGCAAAGTGAGTCAGAATGAAGACCTTTTCTATCTTGAGTTCATACTTTTGAATTACCTCAAAAACGTAAAAATTATTTGTAGTTTGTTGAAATTTACTAATTTCTCACCTGACCTGACAACAAGCTAGTTTTGTATACGAGAGTGCTGATTTGGCAGCACAGTGGCTCAGTGGTTAGCACTGACGCCTCACAGTAAGAAGGTCCTGGCTTCTATCCCCAGTTTGGACCTGAGGTCTTTCTGTGTGGAGTTTGCATGTTCTCTTCGTGTTTGTGTGGGTTTTCTCTGGGTACTCTGTGTTCCCCCACCCATAAAAACGTAAAATATGTTGGCTTTCAGGCCCAGGCCTCCCTTAAGAGATCTGAGATCTCAATGGGATTTGCCTGGTTAAATAACGATAAATAAATAAATAAATTAATTAATTAGAAAGCTGATCTGAAGTGACGTTAGCTCTCGTCTCCAAACATGAAACCAGAGTGATTTCCTGTCACTGTGGCAGTCGGCACAGATAAAGGGTCAGATTCAACAGAAATTAAATAATTTCTGATAACKTACCTGTTAGAAKCCTTTGATTTACTGGCACATGAAGCAGGTTTGATGCTGTCMTAGTTTCTGCCWTTGGARTGGGTCTTTATGGACTCACTTGTACAAAATATAAATGACAGTAAAAACACGCCTGTTCTTGGTTCTGTTCAGTTCCACTGGTTTTACCAGCAGGGGTCACATTTGTCTGTTTCATGTGTCACAGATTGTCTCTGTGGTGTTATCATAAWTTGTGACCCGTCACATTGAAACGAGGATTAAGTCCAAAAGTGGGATGTGGAGAAATAGGCAGATAGAGGGTTTTGATTTAAACGTGTGCAAAAATTGCATTTTGTCAAAATATAATGAATAAATGCCTTATCAATGTATCATTTGAATGAACTGTCTGAAATATAATCATAAAACAAAATTTTGAAGCATTTTTTTTGAGCAGTAGCAAAAAAAAAAAAACTGATTTTGAGGAAAAACGCTTTAAATTTTTTGAATTTTTCCCTGTGAGCTAACAATGATTTTGTTTCTTTACAACTGCGAAATCGTAATCTACAAGTATTATTTGAGGTTTCCTCTATATATTAACATCAATAACTACTCAATAAACTTACATAAAATTAGGATTCAGACCAAACAGTAATGTATTATTCTAACAACAAGACAAATTAAGTCACATCTCTGGATTAGCTGACGATGTCAGAAAGAACCAGGTAACAAAATGTATCTTATAAAGCAGGAATCTAAAAATGTAATTAGATCATTTTGATCAAATTTGACTTAATCCTCATTTCCATATGATGAATCACATTTATTGTTATTGGACAGTTTATTTCATATCTACAGGTGTGGGAATTGGACTCTATTCAGAAACGAGGTGGTTCTCTTCACAAATAGAAGTTCTTTGAAATGTGAGTCATTCAGSCAATCACAATCAAGGTAAACATATCTTGATTGTGATTGGCTGAATGACTCACGTAAGACAGGGATGAAGTTACTGTAATATTTCCATGATGACTGAAAAACTCTCCAAACTACCAAACTAATGTCTGTCAAAAGACTTTATTTATATCCCTATCTTACTTCTCCAGCATCGTATTTTCATTTATTTATTAATTTAGTTTCACAAGCTTGTTGTAAACAAGTGTATCAGACTGGTTAACCAATCAGCTTGAGTCTGCCTCGCAGACTTTAATGAAGAGATTAAAATAATTAAAATTAATCATTTGTCATTTCCAATCCCACCTAAAGCAAAAGAAATTCAGTTTAAAACCATAAATATATAAATATACCCKACTAAGGAATTTCTAAGAATAAAATTTGAAATAGATCCTGGAAAATGTAGTTTCTGTGAGACGGAGAGTGAAAACCTGAAACATGTTTTCTGTGACTGCACCATGGTTCAGATCTGGATCCAGTCCAAAAAATATAACTTCCTGCTTTCACCTCACAGGAAATAATATTTGGAATATTTAATGTTTGTGGTAGTAATGAACATGGTATCAATATTTAAAAATTTTTGAACTAAATATTATTTAGTAGTAGTAGTAGTTCTTTATTCATTTCATTTGCATCACAAACTAACAAAGTACAGAAAAACATGCAATCAAAAATAAATAAAAATCAAATAAAATGAAAGGCAGCAGAAGAATAAATCTTATATCTCTTATAATATTTTATACCCAAATTATGTTCAAAAGAAAAGTAAAAATACAACAAAAATAAAAACAACTTAAAACATTTAAAAATGAAAAAAGACATAAATTCAAAAAAAACAATTAGCATGAATTCACTTATAATTCTCCATATTTCTTCAGAATACTCTGATTTTTTTATCATTCTCTTCTATATATAAACAAGGATCTGTCATTTTTAACCTCATGCTGTTCCATAATCTTATTCCCTGGATTAAAGTGGATCGCTCCTTCAGACTCGTACGAACCCAGGGTTTCTGAAACATTTCTGTTCCCTTAAGATAATAACAGCTCTGTCTTTTAACAACATTTACTTGGATGTTGGAAGGTAAGAAATT